AGCGGCGCTCCTCGGGGCCCGGCGTCGGCGACTCCAGCTGGGCCTCGCACAGATCCAGGAGGGACGCCGCCTGCTCCCGGGGTGTCTGTGATTTGAACCTGCGCGCCGCCAGGTACAAGAAGGCCTCCACAAAGGCCTGGAGGCCCATGCCTGGAAAACACAGCGCGTAGAGTACGGGATGCCCGTGAGCATTGTCGCATGCTCTCTTTGGATGTGCTGTTGCTGCTGCCGTGCGCGTGTGTGTGTGTGTGTGTGTGTGTGTGTCAAGTACGAGTTGTTTCAAAGGTCACAAGAACAGCAATATCGGTGCTAATTTCCATGAGCCTGTGGATGGTGATTAAAAATAAAATGTTCAACTCTTGGTTTCACTTTGACAGTGAATTTCAACGAGAAGTGACAAATGATCCAAAACTTGTCTTGAAAAAGTCTGACTTTTTTTAAGGAGTCGTACCACTTGAATCAAAATGGTGATTCAATCGTGTGTGTGTGTGTGTGTGTGTGTGTCAAGTACGAGTTGTTTCAAAGGTCACAAGAACAGCAATATCGGTGCTAATTTCCATGAGCCTGTGGATGGTGATTAAAAATAAAATGTTCAACTCTTGGTTTCACTTTGACAGTGAATTTCAACGAGAAGTGACAAATGATCCAAAACTTGTCTTGAAAAAGTCTGACTTTTTTTAAGGAGTCGTACCACTTGAATCAAAATGGTGATTCAATGACAAAAATGATTGAGGAATTCTACAAAGGAAGAATTTCACTTGTCCATGAAAAAGAACAACTTCATTCTTGAAAGAGTGTGCGTGGGGAAAAAAAGTCATGTATTTGCCGCAAAATGACTGAGTGTTCTCCACAAAAGAGTTGATCGACTTCATTCTATCTATCCACACTCTCTGAAGAAAGCACCTTTTCTCAAACTTTTTGACATCTTTTTTAAGACCAAACAAAACATATACCGGTAGCTTTTTCATGATTTTTTTTTTTTTTAAACACAAAAATAAACCTTGGTTTTCTCTTTTTTTTGTTGTGACTATCAGAAAAGTACTTTTATTTTCATGAAAGAAAATGACATTGTTTTGATTGCATTCTCTATTTGACTTTTTCCACTAAATGTTCTCTCCTGCTGCCTGTCTCTTTGACAGAGAAAAAAAACAACAACAAAACCAATCCTCTGACTTTGCACTCAACGCATCAAGTAGAAGAAGTCAAGGCGACGACAAAAGTGAGGTGATCATTTCATCATTTTTTTTTTTGCAAGGGAGACGAGGAGGCGCAGCCTGAGCGAAAGCACGATGACGAACCGCACAAAACGAGATCATCTGCGGGCCGAAATGAAAAGACGCTCTCTGAACACACAGAGCGTCTTTTCGATTCTGCAAAAACTCGTTTTGAGCCGAGCGTGGCGTCCAATTTGGCGCGGGCGAGCCGCGTCCTTCTCCTTACCTGCTTCCCGACAGTCGGGCAAGGCTCCGGACCAGCGCCGCGTGATGTCAATGTAGAGGATGTCAACGGACGCCATGGTCAAGTTGCTGCTGCTCAGCTTGCAGTTCCTGCACACAATCAGCGAGTGTTTGAAAAATCTGCAATTGTTTTGTTTGTCATTATATACGCGCATATATACATACGTGGAAGCTGTCGTTTCTTTCCCCAAAGAAAAAACAAAAATGACAAGAAAACCGTGTTTCTTTTCCCAAAAAACGGGAGCTTTGCGCACCTGATGAAGGTTCTGAAGGCGGTGGGTCCGAGGCGCATGTTGCCTTTGACGCCGAGGAAGCGGACGAAGAGGGCGGCGATGCGCTCCACCAATCGAAGGTAGTTGAACTGCCGGCTGTATTTGGGGTACACCTGCTTCAGGCACGGCGAGGGCATGCCATCCGGATGCTTCCTGACCTGGCCGCGGCCCGCCGCCGCCGCCGCCGCCGCCTCCTCCTCGCCGCCCGACGACCTCCGCTGGCAACTTTGCAGAGCGCGCCCGAAAATGCAGATATGCTCTTTAAATCGCCGTGAGGCATGCAAGTTCAATCATCCGCTAAAACATCGTGCGGAACCTGTCGACTGACCAGATTTCCTCAAATAGCGGCTTCCAAAAAGTTGGTTTTAAGAAGTAGATTTTTCAAGCAAAATTTTCATTTTTTGACGTTTTGGTTCGGCCATTTCTTTCATTCAAAACCGGGACGCGTCCTTTTTGAAAGCTCCCCATGTATCAAGGCTGAAATACATTTTCTTGTTCAATTTTTTTTCCCCGGGGTTGATTTCAAGAGACTAAAGAAGAGAAGGAAAGTCGATGGCCGGTACATACGATGCGGCTCTTTTGAGAGCGGCGGGGTCCACCAGGCGTAGCGTGTCCCTGATCACGCCCACTTTCACCTCCTCGTCCACCGGACTGGGAACGCATTCGAACACTCCCGGCGCCACCTGCCGCACGAACGCGGGATGTCGGGAAGAGCTCGGGAGGAAAAGAGAGGTGCGCCTTCCATACCTCCCGCTCGTGCTCGATGCGCATGCTGGGGTTGGCGTTGACCTCGAGGAGGACGGGCTTCAGGTTCTTCATCAGGAGGACATCAAAACCTAAGATCTGACAACAAAGGCGCGTCCCGAAAGCGTTCTTGACGGGCAAGGTTTCGGGGAACATCAACTTTACCATCAACCGAAAGTCAAGTCAAACCGCTCGCCTTTTGGAAACACCTGAGAAGGAAATGAAGAAAGGGGAAAAAAATGCTTTGGGGGGGGTTTTTGCGTGGAACAACACTGTCACCTACTGGTGCTTTGACATCTTGCTGGAATTGAAAAGATTGATTTTTATTGTGAAATATTTGTTAGAATTAAGTTGCATCTTTTTTTGGGGGGGGGGGGATTTTTGAGCCGTAGCAAACAAAATTGAAGGGGGAAAATGTTTTTGAAGTTTTATTTTTACGTGAATTTACAACAATTAAATCATTTCAGTTTGGTTTTAGGTGAAGATTCATGTTTTTATTAGAAAAAAATAAATAAAAACTTTAGATGCAAATGTATGGAGAAAACGCCCTGATTGTAAAGTGTCCTTGGGTGTCTTGAAAGGCGCTTATAAATAAATGGATTATTATTATGATTAAAACAGGTTGTGTTATTTGAATTTTTCTGACAAGAATAAAACTAGACTTTAATACGAACTAAATGTTGTGAAATGTCAAATGAAAACGTCTGTTGAGAATGACAACCTTCTTTAAATCGGGTTTTGCCAGTTGTCGTTTCACATGTTGATGAGAAAACGCGTCTGTATTTTCCTCCCCAAAAAGTAATACTGTCAAAAAAGAAGAAGTCAAGGAGTCGTTGCGTTTCGGTTTGCGTTTGTGCGGCCGGGAAAGGAGGCGACCGGCTCACCTGGAAGCAGGAGGGGCCGGGCTTGCCGGGCGGGATGTCGGCCTGGTAGTAAACTTTGAGTTGAGGCACCACGGCCACAACGGTCTTGATGACCAGGGCGATGATGTCCGACCAAACCCTCTTGACGTCCACGCCCTTGGCGGCCAGCCGCCGCAGCACGCTGGACAGCGTGCGCTTGCTGCCCGTGCTCTGGCTTTCCGAGTGCACGAAGTTGCCGCTGTGCACGTTGAGCGAGTAGTTGGTCAGGTGCATGAAGACGTGGCCCAGGTTCTTCTGGCTCGGCTCCTGATGCACAAAAGCAAGGCAAGGCGAGGCCTCGTGAAAAGGGGCGGGGCGGCAAAAAGATCAACCCTCTGGGTAGAATGAGGCTCACTTGGCGACCGCTTCGGCAATTTGGAACAGAGCCGCCGTGATTTCCTGACAATCTCTTATTTCTGTCAAGGTTTAACGCGCTTTTTCGGTGATTCCAAATCAAATATTCAACGACTGAATTCTGCCGTCATTCGTGGAACGCGGGCTTCTGACCGTGTGCACGCTCAAAGTACGCTGCCCAGGCTTCATTTGAGGAGAACGGTTCTTGCGAGTCAAATTCCTTCACAAAAGTGCTGTGAGAAACACAATCTTCTTTTCGAGACATAGAAATGAAAATAATCCAAAAGAAATCATTTGTTTTTTTTTTTCAAAAACAGTCTAATTTTAATCTCTTTTTTTTTCCCAAGAAAAGGCTTAACCTCACAACACCAATTTTTCTTTCCGGGAAAAGGTGTCATATGACAAGAAGGGATTGAATGCGAAAAAAAAAAAGTCTGGCTTTAATAGGCGTAGGTTTTAATCTGACCAGAGCTGCGTTCAATCGACTCGGAAAGGCAAATGAACGCCCGACAGCTATACTCTTGAAGAGTACGGCGACCCCCCGAGTGGAAGAAAGGCTCTCGATCCTCAAGTTGTCAACGCACGTAGCTTCGCCTCGGTCGCCGCCATGAAGACGAACGACGAGCGACAAACGATAAGAAGGACGCGGCGGCACCTGGTAGGGTTCGGTGCAGAAGCGCGTCAGGCCCTCCTTGGCGATGTAAACCTCCAGCGGCTCCAGCGACTTGAGCAGCACGTAGAGGCGGATGTCGAACTTGAGCTTGTCCACCAGTAGCGGCTTGCGGATGTATTCCTGCACCACGGCCTGCCGGGCCTGCGCGCCCGCCACCGCCGGCCTCAGCTCGCCGGGCTCGCGGATGAGGTAGATGCCTTCGCCCTGAGAGCCGCCGTCGGGCTTGACGATAAACGTTGGGGAGAGCGTGGCGTCGCGCTCCTTCACCGCTCGAAGCTGAGAACCGCCAAAAAGAAAAGCTGCTACCATGAGGGAGTCGACGTATACTTCCATCTTCATTTTGATGGAATCGACGGGCTGCCGGGGTGACCTTTTTTTTTTTTTTTAAGTCTCCGAACTTCTTCTCACTTTCAACCTACGTTGTGCGATTGCCGGCGAGCAAACCGAGCCATTTTTCAAGAGTGTCTCTTTGCGCCCACCTGCGCGGAGAACTGCTGGTACTCATCGGGCAGGATCCACGACCGCGGGTAGAAGTCGTACTCCGCGGGGAACAGCTCCTGCATGATGCGCACCGCTCGGCTCAGGTTGATCTTCCGCGACATTTCCAGCATTCCTGTCGAGCGGGCGAGGGACGGGAGGGACCGACGCATCATTGCGGGGGCGCGGTTCAAAGCATCAAAGTCAAGCGGGGCCGTCCAGTACCTGGGAACTTGTTCACCTGGCCTGACGTGATGTTCTCATTGTCGTGGAAGGAGACGCCGTGCCAGTAGATGTCACACGCCGCTCGTCTTCCTGCGGGAATCTGCAGGTGCAAATGTTATTTCAAAGGGAATCCGACACCAAACGTACTCGCGGCGGGATTCGTGCGCTAGCTTGTGCTCAAAATCTCTCTTTTTTCGGTGCCAGACACGACTCTAGAGGAGACACAAAATGCAGGTGCGCCGTGGTCCATCTTGGCACGGGCCACGTGGACTTCAGCACGAGGATGATCCCAGATGGACTTGGAGAAGCGCATCCCATTAGTGAGTCGGCATGCGAGCGTGTGGAGGCGGGAGGGCTGCCGCCACACGGAAACAGCGGTGGAAAAATCGCAAGTGCCCTTTTCACTCAGCGCAAAAATTCTTTTCTTTTTTTTTTTCCTCGATGAAATTACCTCGACACTGTAAAAATACAATTGAAAATATATTCTCTCACGGCTACAGCCTCACTGTTTTTTTTTCTGCAAAACGCTTTCCCAAACTACCCCCAGGATGATTATCAGCGACATTGCCACTCTTCGTTTCTGCTGTCGTCATGCCAACAATTTGGCTCGTTCTCTCTTGCCTGAAAGAGGATTTACAGACGATCGGATTAGACCAGTTTACAGCTAATCATTTCCACTGGGTGAGAGAGAGTGCCATATGCGCCCCCCCCAAATCAGATGATAACTGGACAATTGTGCAAGTGGGCGCGGAATCGTTTACCGTGCGGACAAAGAGGGCCGTCAACCGTTTCACGCCGTGAGTTCATGGCGGGGCCACCATTACAATGGCCACAAATGGAGGACGAAAACTGACAGACTCAAATAGCCGCTTCGTGAAATAAATAACAACCAGTCGCAATCGGGTTGCAAGTCATCTGCATGTTGTCGACGCCTCCTTCATGACAGAAACAGTTTGATGCCATTTTTTGGAAAGGGGTTGCTTTTCAACCGGTGTTGTCCAACAAGGCTCACAGCTGGAGCCCCTGCTTTAGTCTCCAAATACACTACAACAAATCTCCGTCGGAAGACTGTTAGACGGGTAGAGTAGGCAAATTCCTTCCAAACACTTGCGATATTCTGCCACGCAATGTCCGTTCAACAGAGAGCGAACATTTCTCCAAATGGGTGACAATGTGGTCTTGGAGTTTGTCAAGTTTAGAGACTAAAACCTTTCAGCTGGGAGCGGAAGCGCTTCATTCTCATATGACTGTTTTTGCTTGAAAAAAATGTAAGTTTTTCCTCTCAGAATCTGACTGTTCACTTTTTTTTCTCAAATGACATTGCAGTTCCACGTTTCATTGTACGAACTTCCAAACCTCTTTCCACTTGAGCTGTCTGATGCTGATCTTGAGTCCCTCGAGGGAGGTTTTGGCTTTGGACGTGTCCACCGTCACCGGCCTCCTCTTCTTGCCGAGTTTGTCTCCATCTTCAGGCGCGTGGATGCCAGTCGAGTAGTTCCCGTTTGCCTCCCACTTGCCTCCCACCACGAAAGCGGTGCCTTGGGGGAGGACCCGCTGGTGCTCTTCTGCCGTTTGTTTGTTGAGATTCTCCCCGACTTCGACCCCCGCCGTGCCCGATGTGCGGCATTCTAGGGCGGGAACCGGGATGATGGGCACACCGGAAGCGTCGAGCAACACCGGGGAGAGGGGCACCAAACACTCGTCGTCTTCCCCGCCCTCAACATCAGGCAGCTGCACCGTGCCGCCATAGCAATCGCTCATGATGCTCGACGCTGCCCGGCCGGGTGCAGTCGTTCCACCAACACGTCCAGTAATCCGACACCGGCGGACTGTAACGTCTCCCGCATTGCTGGCTGCTGCGGAGCGGCTGTAAATAATTTCTTTTTTTTTTTTTGGTGCGGCGGGAGGGAAGTGAGGGGATTGAAGGGGTTAGGGAGGGGGGGTCAGCTAAGTGCCGAACACCGAGACATCTCCGGGATTGGTAGCGACGCTTGCTAATGCTAACAATCAAATGGATAAAGTTCCATACGCGAGCCCTGCTGTTCGCTAGCCGGGCGAGCTGGGGTCAGATGGCGTTAACCTGGCCGGGTACCGAGAAGTTAAATCCGTCGGTGAAGGCCCACACTCCCCGGCTGCGGCCCACACCGCGAGCCATACTGACGAGCAGTCGCCGGGCAGCTGGTCGCCGAGCAGCCGCTCCCAGTCCAAGCTCCATCTGCGTGCGAGCGAGGAGCAATGTTGCATTCAGGGATCCTCGTTAATACCGTCACGACTCCCGTGGTCTGGCTGCGGACGTTTTCTCTCCCTCGCGTCATGCTGTCACAGAGCTCTAATCATGGTTCAATTATTATTATTATTGCTATCTTCGGAATTGTTTATGCGACCTTTTGATGGAGTTGTGTTGCGCTCAAAAAAATTCCAGATTCCAGATGGTACTCTGAAGTACAGTAATAGTAAGTATTTCCGACAGTATTTGAAAGCAATACATGGGATGCCACATCTTTGAGTCGGAATCCACCCTTTCAGCGAATTTCAATGCCAACCAAAGCATTTTGTTCCACATGTACTGTACTCATAATACTATCCATCCTCCCTTTTTCTGATCCGCTTATCCTCACAAGGGTCGCGGGGCGTGCTGGAGCCTATCCCAGGTGTCTTCGGGGCAGTAGGCGGAGGACACCCTGAACTGGTTGCCAGCCAATCGCAGACTAATACCGTCATACTAATACTGTATACAAATACATACATTTTAGGATGACGTAATTCCCCAGACGTTTACATCTTAAACTGAGATCAGCTCTATCCTGTCGGTTGACAATTTCTTGTCTGAGGACGACTAGAAATGTGTGCAGCCCAGATTTCAAAGTAAACATGGTGAAGCTGCATTTAGTTGTTATGCTGCGCACAAATAGTATAAGATGCCAACAGAAGTCAAGTCAGTGAATGCTTCAATCCAGGTGAACAACTTTGCTTTTTTTCAAGTACCAAGTACCAAAAAATGCTTGCAATATCTCAACGTAATTGTATAAAGTACAACAATTTCAAATTTTAGGACAGATTTTAGAAAGAATCATGGAATTTGGCGCAATTATTAGTTGTATCGGGCCTCACAATGATGAGGCAGGCAGGATCTGGCCCCCAGGCCTCGAGTTTGACACCTGTAACCTGGAGTATTATTTGCTTGACTTTTTTTGCATTTGTGATTCAGGGGCAAGAGGACAATGAAACAAGAACGTGTAACATCAGTATGAACGGTAACAGTTATGCAATTCTCTGAGCTAAAATAGTAAGTAGACTGCAACAGCCTCAACTTTGGTGTTCTTCAGGGTTCGTAGCTAGAGCCACTGCTAATTTCACATTCATTCACATTACACATGCCGGAAGCACTTTGCTTTTTTGGTGTTAGAACTGTGTTTAGCATTACCATTCAGAGTGAATGGCCAGCTGAAACCTTGTTGATTTGTTTTGACAGTCTGCATTAGGTCGTGCACTTATAGCTTACGCTTTGACTTTTCATCACTGGTCGCTTTTAGTTGATGAAATTCAAAATGTACTGCATACTGTGTATTATAGTACTAGCATAGTGCGCTACACGACAGGAAATAACCGGCACGGTATTATTTATTATTGTGTTGGGCTTTTGAAAATAATGTCATCCGGTAGAACTTCAAAGAGACTGTTTTCCTCATGTAGATGGGTTGCAACATAAGATTAATTAAAAACACGTGTCGTATAAATATAATACAAGGAAAACACTGAAATACTCACTTTTGGCATGTATTTGACGGTTAATGCGGGTTTCCTCTTTTTGCATATTTATGTCATTTGTGGGAGGACACTTATTTATTTGACACTGTTGACACTAAGGGTAGTTAGATAGGTAGAATCGTTATTCGGGGAAATTAAATAGGTACTTTTATGTACACCTGTACAATGTAGTGAGGTATTAATGCAACATGTTTCTATTTTATATTTTTGTTGTTACATTCACTTTTTTTTTTTTTTTTTTTTTGCTTCGCCTACCTAATGTCGTGGTCCGTGGGTGTATTTTGTCAATTGTCTGGATTTAAAATAATGTATTTACTAAAGGGTGCTCCCATATTGGAATCAAGTTCAACTGCCTGAAGATAAAACTTTTCCAATTTACGTCCAAAGTTGAATTCTATCTAAAAAGACAAAACAAAACCACGATGTGCATTGTTCACGAAGTGCTTTAAATCGAGTTCTTCACTTATTAAATAGCAGCCAAACATCTACCGTAGGGTGTTGGTGGTGGAAGAAAATTGTAGCCATGTTTGATAGGGGTCCTTTCGGCTGTAGCCACGCAGCAGCCCGCCCGCCGGCCCGCCAGTCGGAGGAGGAGGACGCGACGTCGAGAGAGCCGCACGCCCGGTGCTCGAGTTCGTTAGACGGCTACTTGAAACATCACCACCCGAGCTGTTCAGCACCGGAGGGTTCAGATGCCCAACCTTTGCATTTGCTACATTCTCAAACGGTGAGTTTTCACTCGGCCTTGGTGTGTTTTTTTTCTAAAGTTCTCCATGCGCGGCGTGGTAACTGAGGCACGGGGTATCAGTACAAAGGCTTCCTTAGCCGGAGAAAATGCCGGGGCTGCGGCAGCCGGGAGGCCCCGCTCCCGCCTTTCTCCTCGCCGTCTTCCTTCCCCCACCACCACCACCAGCACCACCTTCGTCGCCGGACACGCGGAACCCACCGAAAAGCCGAATCATTTGTATTTTATCTATGTTTGACCACGCGTGTCGTCGCTGGCTGACAACCGCGGTCCGCGCCGAGAAAGATGGTATCGCTTCGGCGTCTCGTAGCTCCAGCACGCCGAGGAGCCGAGCCCCCGACGCCGCTAGAGTACGACGAGGAGAGCGAGCGTTGCTCCGTGGCAAAACGTCCGGGGTGGTGGACATGAAGTGCCCGAACCGCCGAACACAAACGCGTTTACTTTCCCTCAAATGTGAAGCAAAGTTGGCAAGTTTTCGGATGGGTTTTTCTTCACCTTTGCACGTCAACTCGCGGGGGCTTCTGGGCGAGTCACAGCCGCTTGGTGCAGTTGGTTTCCGGCCGCCTCTGCGGGGGTGAAGCCGGTCATGAATATGCCTCAAACTCGGGCCCGATTTCCCCCTGTTTGGCGTCGTTGCGATTTAAAGATCACCGAGGATGAAGTGAGAGTTTCAATGTCGTGGTGTCGTGTCTTTCTGACGCCGTGAATGCGCTTCGGATAGCCTGGCCGCGGTGGTTCAACACCGGCCGCCTCCGGCTGGGTGCGGGCTGGATGAAACTCGCCGACTTCCATATTAGCATCCACTGCCAATCGTTTGAGTCATGTAATGGAGGAGGATTGAGCTCTGCTTTAACTTATGTTTTACTATTGTGTTAAGTTCAGGTCTATACGATTTATTTTTTTGTCGACCAGATGAATATTCTGATGGTGGCAGGTGCCCCACTATTTCCTTATTTCAGTCAAATTCCAGAATATTCTAACTCACTACGCAGCGCAGCTCCCAAAACGATAGTTCAACCTTCCATTCATAATGAATACTTTTATTAAGATGACAACATATTATTTTGTCAGACACTGCTCAAATTAGATTGAGAAATGGGAATATCACAGTGTCACTTCCAATATGATATCGCCAACAGTTTACGGTAGTATGTAATGTAGAAGGACCATACAAACAAATGAAAGAAATTCAAAGATTTAACTGCGATTTAAAACAGTTAGAACAACCGTCTCCATTCTTGATGTAGTTAAACACGTTTTCATTCGTTGTTGAAATATGTTGCATTGACAATGCACAAATATCGCTGTTCATGTCAAAGTTGTCAAGTGCACGAACCATGTTATGACATCCATTTGCTGATGTCTTTTATTTATTTATTTTGTGTGTACTACAAATGAAGTTGAGAGTGAATCAACAGGAAAGATGCCGGCAAGGACCGTCTAGTGTTTTTGGATGTGTGCAACGGTTTGGTTTGTACCTTGGTTTCAATCCAGGTTTCAGTTGACCTTGGGTACCGCACGGGAACAAAATGCAAAACAAAACTATATAACGGCTGAAATATTTTCTTTTTCGCAAGACCGAGCATTTTGTCTCAATTGCTGTTTCAACTTTGTTTTCCCCTCAGATTGAACAATGTGACACCAGAAGGAGGCAGCTGCACTCCCAATGGTCCACAAGCTCACCTCCCTTGAGTAGAATGTACTTGATGAACGCGCCCACTGTCGCAGCGCCTCGCACAGAGTGGAGAGCATGCGGACCGCCCGGGGGCTATAGCATTCCCGTCTGCTTCAATGACTCGGATGCCGAGTTGTCCGCTCGGGGTTCTTCTATCTCAAATAAGGTCCAGATGATCATAGAGAGCCTGAGGAGCAGTCAGTCCTCACTCGATATGAGCGAAGAGGTGGTGACGAATGCGCTTCAGAGACAGGACGGGCCTCCCCAGGCTTGTAAGACAGCGGCGGGCCCCCTCGTGACAGCCAAGTCCAAAACCAAAAAGCGTCCGGCCGGTGTTCTTTTGAAGGACCGCGACCAGAGCAGCGATAGCGATGACTCTGTGGACAAAGGAATCGAGGAGGCCATCCTCCAATACCTGAAGGAGAAAGACGGCCACAAGCGCGAGGCAGAACTTTTCGTTCGGTCGTCCAGGCAAACCGTTCCTGAAATAAAGTCCGAAAGCCAGGCCTTTTCCATCGTGAGAAGCCGCTTTCCCAAAAGCGTCATCCGAGCGACACCGGCAACGGTACCCGTGAAAAAGTACATTAAACACAAGGCCTCGCTCCACGAGGCCGCTCTCAGGAACTCCGAGTTGGGGCGCGTTATGCTGCGAGATCAGTCGACGAACACCGTAAAGCCAAGCGGCCTGGTACGCAAGATCAAAGGGGAGGACGTTCGCAACGACTCCAGCAGCAGCAGCGACGACGGCATTGAGGAGGCCATCCAGAAGTACCAGCTGGAGAGGATTGAGCAGCAGACGAGGGGGGACCTTTTCAAACCGCTCGCTTCTGTGGAAGAATCGCACTCCTCGAGCGACGACGGCATCGAGGAGGCCATTCGCAGCTATCAGCTGGAGCAACTCCGAGAGAAGTGTGCCCCCAAACCACAAGACAAGTCAGGGTCCTGCGCCTCCGGAAGTTCCGGCCTTGACGATGCTAAAGGACACCAACCCCAAAAGAAACAGAAACGGGCGCAGAAAGGCGCCAAATTGGTCCAACCGCCGTCTCCGACTCACTTGGCCGACTCGCTCAGCATCGAGCAGAGAAGCCAAGGCAACGGTTTGCCCTCCTTACGAGTCGAAAGCTTTGCTGAGCAGCCTCCGCCGGCCCTCCCCAAAGCCAATACCACCGCCGAGCTGATGTGCGCCGAAGCAATACTGGACATCTCCAAAACGGTCATGCCCGGAGCCTTCATGTCCCATCTGGACGTCGGGCCGAGCGTCTGCGCCCCCGCCGGACTCGCGCAACGATCCACGACTCCGGAGCGGGACAGCGATGCCTGCGGCTCAGTCGACAGCGAAGATGGGATCGAGCAAGAAATTATGAAATTTCTCGAGCAGAAGGCGCAAATGCTCAAACGTTCACCCGGAGAACCATCGACGATGACGGCGCGAGAAGCAAGTCGGGGCAAAACCCCCAGGTTGTCCTTCACAAAGAGGCGGAAACACAAAGACAATACGAGCTCCCGCACGTCCGCGCTCGATCCGTCTTCCAAACCTCCCAAGGCAAAAAGCCCGCCGGTGGCCTCGCCGAGATCGCGGGACAAAACGGAGCAAAGCGGAGACAAGAGCAGCTCACTGGACAGCGACGAGGATCTCGACACTGCCATCAAAGCCCTCCTCAAGACAAAGAAGAAGTCGAAGAAGATGACCAGGTCGCAGCGCGATTCCAGAAAGCGCCCGGTGCCGGAAGCGGAACGGTCGCGACCGTGCGCCAAAAAGGCACACCTTGGTGCCGCGGCCGAGCTGACCGTTTCCAAAAAGGCCTACAAAAGGAAGAGCCGCTCCAAAGACGCGCGGGGACCAGCCGAAAAGACGGCTGCGCCAAACGCGCCCATCGAGAAGAGACGGGCGAACTGTGGGGCCAATGCGGTCCGAGGCCTCCCGCCCGCAATTGCTCAGCAGATCAAAGAAGAGAGCAGCTCGGTAGATAGCGACGACAGCATCGAGCAGGAGATCCGGAAGTTCCTGGCCGAGAAGGCCGAGAAGGTCACGATCGGGGAGGCGGAGGCGCCCAGCAACGGCACCGCCCCCGTGCGACGTGACCTCGAGTGGGAAGATCAGCTGGCTGAGATTCCGAGACAAAGCGCCAGACCTGCGGCCGCGACGCCCGACGGCTCGGCGCTCGCTCCGCATCGCTCCCCCGGCCCCGGGAGCTCGGCGCGCTCGGCTCGAGCCGAGCAAAAGCCTCCGACGCCCGCCGGGGCCGACGACGGACTAACCGAAAAGGTCCCGGCCGTGGATCAGTCCATCAAGTGGCGCCAAAGTTTCGGCCTTCCCATCGTCGACCCAAAAAGTTTCGGCCGAACGCAGTTTCATATCAGCTCGTCCAAAATGAGCGCTTCTCCGTCAGCGGCGTCTTCGTGTCAAGGCAAGGCCGGCGAACTCAAACGTCCCACGCCGGCCTCCCTCTGGTCTTCTGCGAGACGCTCGTGGTCCGCGGCGAAACCCCCCGCGATGAGCCCCGCTTTCAACCCCTTCTCCGTCGCGCTTTCCGCCGGGCGGCATCCGGGCGCCGCCAGCACGGTGCACGTGCCGCGGGACAAGAGCGTGTTTGTCGAACTGGAGTCGGGGCGGACCAACCACGTCCAGGTGCAGAGCAGGCAGAGCGATGAGGGAAAGGCCAGGGCAGACGAGGGCAGAGCCGCCAGAGACGCCGGACTCGAAGGAGCTGAGGAGGAGTTTATAGACCAGTCAGAGGGTGAGAGTCCAGAGAAGAAGCAGAGCACTTTGTAAGTATCCCTTTAGCCGAGCGGCGGCGTCATCCGTGTTCCTTATTTCTCAGAAATCGCCCGGGACTCACTCTTGGCGATGCCCGACGACGCCGAGCGCGTGTCGTTCTGTGCCATGAGATTTGCCAAAAGCAATACGGCCGCTTTTTGCCGTGCGAAAAATAGGCGCCGGGGAGTCTTGAAACGAAAACCACGCCAATCCAGTGACAGTGTTGTGTTCAATTTGAAATGTTACCGTGTTATTGTCATCGCCGGACAGCTTTACAAGAAGCCGATGCCACAACTCCTTTCACAAGTGACTCGTTTTCAATTGGCGGGGAGGTGAGGGGGGCGGTTTTGTATGCTCAGAGTATGGTACAAAAGTCTTGGGTCACCACAAGCTCTGTCATGAAGCGACGTGTTCCCATGAAAATGTCGTCGGAATGAATTTCCAATCCCCAGGTCCAAATGGTTCAAGCCATCCGGTTCAAACTCTGGCCGCTTCTTGGTTGCCGCGGCGCCGTCGTCGCCAGAATTTTTCTGTAAGTTGGAACGTGCTGGAGGCTATCATGAACCTCTCCCGCCGCTAACGCAATTTTCCATTACAAATCAATGCTTCGATGAAAAACGTTAAAATCAAACCAAAACAGTGAGGCCAGCCCGGTTTTGCTTTGTCTGCGCCATTTTTTTTTAAAATGATGTATTTATTTATTGATACCATTTTTTTAAACTGAAGACGTTATGAGGTCACGTCCTTTGATGGAGCCGCGTGTGACGTTCACAACCAACAAATAGCGAAAAAATACACACCGCTGTTCAAAAGCGGTGGGTCACTTGAAAATGTCCCATTTCATTTATTTAAAAAACTTTTTTTCAAGTGACTTGGAAATCCACTCTTTCTATCCATTGTGAAGATGATCACAATTTCAAGCCTATCCCCAAACGCTTTGTGAACTTTTCTGTCAGCGTTCAGGTGGTCTTTCAGTGGCGTTCCATTTTCTGGTAGGTTTTACAAAACGGAGCGCACCCCCTGTTTTGGCCCAAGACTTTTGTACAGTGCAGAAGCGGCACCATTCAGATTTTCTGTTGGTGGAACATCATGTCATTTTGTGTCAAATCCCGCTCCAATCCTCCTCCTCAGCTATTTTGTTTGTCGCGCCAAGACGCGATGAATCGAGATCGGCGCAGACGGCCGATTTCTGCACGTTTCTGACACGTTCATTCCAAATGTCGCTTTTTTTCAGCGAAGCGCATTCGTTGATGTCGCCTTTCTTGTCCCAAGCCATTCAGTTTGAATGCCACTCAGACATGATGAATCAAGCGTCGATTCCATACGATCGACCAATTTAGTTGCATTTTTTTCAACCGTTGGTTAGAATGGCTTCTTCCAAGACGCGACGAATCTACCGTCCGTTCCGCTCACACGACCGCCAGTGCGTTTATTACAAACGTCGGCTTCTTTGCGGCCGCCCGCAAAGATTCTCGCGCTCGTCTGGATCCGTGTTTTGCTTTCTTTAGCCGCTTTGTGTGTGTGTGTGGCAGGTTTTGACTTTACGTTTTTCAACACGCTGGCTGTCCTTGCATCGACTTGTCGCGGTCCGCTCCGATACCATTTTCTCTTTCTGCCTTTGGTCCCCGGTGGGAAAGAAAAACAAAAAACAAAAGGCTATTTATTTTTGTTTCTTAAAAAGAATACTGAACATGCTGTGCATTGCCAGTCCTGTAAAGATTTTGTATGAACTCTTCTCCTATTTTCAATCTCCTTTTTGTTTTGCTGTGTCTTTTCTCTGTGTAATAAAGAGAGCGCAACCCCAGCAACATGTTGGTTTTCGTTTCCATCCACGCGCAATATTGGGATGGTTTTTGGGTGGGAGGGGGCGGGCGAGTTTGATGCGCTGTGGCTCGCCCATGCAGGTCCCTGTCGTGCGCCATCGACCCCGGCATCGTCGTTCAGCCGTGCATCGCGCTTTCCACGGAAGAGCGCAGCAGCATGTTCCAGAGGAGATACCGAAAAGAGGTAGACTGACTTTGACGTCGTCGTCTTCTTTTATACCAAGCGCCGAGAGCTTTTCCGATGTTGCAGCTCGACTTCCACCTCCTGCTCCGTGGTTAGCATTCAGCGCACTTTTCCCGCTTCTGCGGTGACCAAAAAAAGAAAGAAAAGAAACCCTCCACCCAAAAAAGCAAAAGCGACTCACGGGGTTCTTTTCCTCTCTCTTTGTGTCCGCGCGATGCCCTGACAAACACTTTGTGTTTCGGACCCCAAAGATGAAGTCTCACGAGGTTTGCTGATGTGCTGCAAAAATGACATTGGAATAGGAAAACGACCTTTTCGCGCATCGTTTGACTGTCGAGTCTAGTCGTCAAATCATCAAAAGCAGATTGAACACGTTTCGGTCCGTAATCAAGTGAAATTAAAAATAAAAATCACAAATATTATGATTACAATTTATATAAAACGCAACAAGATAAACATAGATAAAAAATTTGAATTTGATTACATTTAAAAATAAATCAGGATCACGATGTACAAAAACAAGAAATAGCAATAAAAATGGACGAATCAAAGTAAATGAAAATATGCATTCAAAATTAGATATCAATTAAGATCACAAGTGGGGGTGAAATACATTTTTAAAAAATTGGCACAATAAGTGTCGATGCAAATTACATGAATAAAAATAGGAAGATAAATACACTTCAAACGATTAAAATATTGAAAAATAAAAGACAAAATATTTTCAGAAAGTGCACACCGACCACTTGATAATCAAACAGCAACAACATTAATGCCGCTGTATTCCGTACAAAGCCGTAGCACAAGATTCATTCGCTTCTTAAGCAAAAAAAGCATTTGATTGTCTTTATAAGGACACAGACTTGCATTAGCATGTCCAGGTGTACCACATGAAGTCTTTCTTTCAAAAACTCATCTATTTGCAGACCACCAAGTTGCTAAACGTGAAAAGAAGGCTGCAGTTTGTTCCGACACACAGGTACAGTCGGATGTGTGCGTGTGTTTGCTTGCCATGACCTATTGGTCCAAATGGTCTCCTCTTTTTTACAGGAAGCTCACCGAAACCTGAGCGCTCTTTACCCGTTGAACACATTGATGTGATGATTAAGGTTGGTTTCATTTCCAAATGAACGTCGCGGTTGCACATTTGTCGCCGTTGGTCCGTGGGGGATGAGAATTTTCTGTCTTGGTGTTCCTCTTTCTTCCGTTTGGAACGTGACCCTTCCATCCCCGTTGCTGCCTTGTTGTGTGTTGCCTTTGGATGGTTTGGCTTATCTCTTGTTGACAATCCATCTGTTGCTCTTATAGGACAGAACCAATGCTTGTTTCTTGACCCAAATTTTCACCCAAAATGACTCTCACACAAAATCACCAAATATATAAATAAATATTTCCTTTGCAGCTGTGATGCAAAGCGCACCGCATCGTTTTTGAGTGTTGCCCGGGTGCCCTCTGATCAGTAAACGCCACCCCTCGAATATAACATACCTCCGTTATTATAGCCAGGAAGTGGGGGCTTACCTTTCCCGCCACATGTGTCACGTTACCCCGACCATGTGCCAACTAGCATCTGTTAGGCTGCCATTTATTGAACCCAAATCATTTGTGATTGTAAAAATGGGTTTGGAACAAAATGCTCTTACGGTGGATCCTTGTCATATATTGGCTAATTACATTCATGTCACAGTGTTCATTCCATTTAACAAGTGTATTACGAATGCAAATGAATAGGAATAAATTATTGAAGTATAACTTCTAATTGTGTACAGGGTTTGTGGACACCCTTTTTTTTTTTTAATTCCAAAAATCTAAATCACCGAACATTCTGCATTTGTCTTAATGTGATTCCCCCTGGACGCTATGAGATGACATACCATCATGTTTACTGTTTTACACGAAGTTTATTACACTTCGTACAAAAGTAAGCAATTACTGCATTTAGCAACGACGAGGGAATAGAACGCTTAAAAAAACACGAGGTGAAGGCGTTCAAAAACACAAAAAGAAATAAGCTGCGGGTGGTAGCAGTGAGCCAACCGGAGCAAGTTTGTCATCGAAGAAGACGGCAAAAGGACGCATGCGCAGTGCGCTGACCTTCCGCGCTTCAAGCAAGCATGACTATTCGTACACTAACGAGAGGTAAAGTATTTCTTGAGTATATATATGTGTGTATATATACAGTGTCACTATTTTTTCTAACGCACTATGGTTGCTCTGACGTGAGGCGACAAGAAGTCCGTGTATTGGCTCGCTACGTCACTCGTGTCATAACGCGATCATGCTTACATTTTTTTTTTTGCATTAAAAAAAAACCCACACATTTGCTAACGTGTTTTATTTCAGGGCTATGGAGGCTTCTACATCATCGTAATTGCAATTATTCCACTGCAGCGTCCATCAAAACGCAACAACCGCAAAGCGACCGTGTTTCCGGTAAGCCAACGTAATAATACCACGTACTGTGTTGATTTGTAAAATAAAATAGAAAACCATTAGCCCTGTGAAAGTTTGGTTTGAGGACAGCGAAAGTGCTGCAGGAGTGGCATCACTGGCAGGTTTAATGTTTTTTTCCCCAAGTATACCGTATGTCGTCGATTGTTTTCTTACTCTTATGTTCGCGTACTCCATTAAAGTTATTGATATTGTTGTCATGATTGCAGAAGAGATTATGAAGCTTCCCTTGGAGAAAGCAGACTACTTCCGTGTCTCTGAGCTTTTCACGGTGAAAGACTTGTTTGATGCCCGCGTTCACCTCGGCCACAAAAAAGGATGTCGGCACAGGTGAGCGTTCAGTCATGTGAGTGGTAATTTGAAAGAAAGATGAGATTTTTATGATCTCGAAATAAAAACCGCAGACCTACATCTGGTGACGAGCATACGTTGTGCATTTCAGGCTGATGGTCCCTTACCTGTACGGCTGCCGTTTGGACCAGGACATCCTGGACTTGGACCAGACGGCGGAGCACCTGCGCCTGGCCCTCAACTTCACGGCGCACGTGGCGTACCGCGGCGGCGTGATCCTCTTCGTCAGCCGCCGACGCCAATTCGCCCACCTGGTGGAGAGCGCGGCGCGCGACTGTGGCGAGTATGCCCACACACGCTATTGGCAGGGCGGCCTGCTCACCAACGCCCACGTGCAGTACGGCGCCGGCGTGCGCCTGCCTGACCTGCTCATCTTCCTGAGCACGCTCACCAATGTGTTCCGCACGCACGTGGGCCTGCGCGACGCCGCCAAGATGAACATTCCCACGGTGGGCGTGGTGGACTCCAACTGCAACCCCAGCCTGGTCACCTACCCGGTGCCCGGCAACGACGACACGCCGGTCGCCGTGGAGCTCTTCTGCCGCCTCTTCAAGATGGCCATCCGGCGCGGTAAGGACAAGAGGAAGCAGGCGGAGCTGCTCTACGGCCTGACGGCACCCGGTTCGCCCGGCCCGTGACCTCCCGTCATTTATTTAGGGCTCAATATAAGACACTCATCTTTTATTTTATTTTCTCTTTCTGAATTACTTCCCATGAAATAGTAAATACATTGGCTAACTGCTGTCTGGTTTGCGTTGCTCATATATCAGGGAGTGTTAAAAATGAATTTCAAAAATGGAAAAATATCACAATGGGGCTTTTATTCAGTATTTTAGATTTAATGACTAAGGTGGCTCCATTTGTATTTGCGTATACAGTGAAGCAAATCTTGAGCAAATGACATTTTCATTCAAAAAAGATGTTATAATGGCATTTATGCTCATCAATCATCGTGTTTTCATTGAGTTGAGTTTTTGTTTTTTACATTTCAATTTTTTTCAACTTTAATATAAATTACATTCGTTTTTTTAATGGTAGCCTATATTTTTATATTTCCTATTCAAGTTTGTGAACATTTTTGAAAGACACTTTAATTGTAAAAAAGGACATGTCATTTTAATTTAGTGCAGTTCATGTGCATTGATTTTAACGGCGTTTTCAGAATGTACTCTTGATATTCTTTCACTTAATTGTGACATTAGGTTTCAAATTATGGCATGCAACGTATTGACGTTAAATCGCCTTTATGTTAATGTTGGCCCAATCGACTTTCCGTACAAGATAGTGGCGTCTCTAATCCACTACAGGGAGACGGAGAGGTGCCGCATCTCAAAGCCAGTTCTGAGCATCCCCACTGAATGACTGAGGCCCGTATTTTGTAAAGCCTACTGAACTGTATCATGCTGGCTTTTTCAACGATATTTATTAGGTGTTCTAAACGTCGTATTGTAAAAAAAGCGACAACCGTAAAGTTTGCGGTCACCCTGGGTTTGCCGTAGTTGCAACGCTTTTGACGGGTTGGCGTTGTCAAATACATCTCAGCGGAAGCAGAGTAACAGGTGAGTTGACGTCGATACAGAGCGCTTCAAATGTCTCAGAAGCACATTTGTATCGCCCGTAACTGTCTTGGAACTTCCCGAGAGACGTCTCACCATGTTTATTTGAATAATAATATGTTGAATATGCTTGCTCGCCCGAGCCTGTCGGGGCGGCTCGTCCAAAAGTAGCAGCATCAATTTCAAGTTAAAATAGGAACAGTGTTTGGGGAGAGTTGTCGTCTGCCTCTCAAGAAGTGACTCTTGTCGCGTCCGTGGATCAACGTCCGATCTCGTCTCAATGAACCGGGATACATTCCTTGAAATGGAGACCGTGACAGCAGCCCCTCCGATACCGCGACGGTTCCCATGAAAACACACGGGAACCGCGCGTCGGCCTCGGAGGACTTCAAATAAACACCGCAATGTGGAAAAGGCGTGCAGTCCAATTTTTAATCACAGCTTCATCGTGTACAACTCCGTTCACTGCTCAAATCATTTCGGTTTACGGTGGAGCCGTTCAACGTTGGGGAATAAAGCGTAGAGCTTGAGTCAATCCGGCCCCGAGTCAAAGATGGGTTCCGTGCGTCCTTCAGGAGTACTGCGTGTTGGAGATTTTCTTCCACAGAAGGGTCTTGAGGTTGTTGAGCACCAGCGAATGGTGCACCTCCATCTGGCTGGCCAGCCCGCTCAGCGTGACGCAGGTGCGCAGCTGGCGCTCCAAGTCGCCCCGCAGCTCGGCCGGCGCCCCGTGGAGCAGGAAGTCCTGGAGCAGGGCGCACACCTTGGCCAGGTTGGGCCGCACCACGTCGGCGTTGCAACGCTTGGCCAGTCGGTCGCAGGTGGCCGTGCAGTCGCGGCCGTACGTGCAGTCGGCGTTGGTCTCGCAGCGCCGGCCCTTCAGGTGGGCCCGCACCGCCGCCTCGGAGGCCACGGCGCGCAGGTCGGCCATCTTGCAGTCGTACTTGGCGTTGTAGCCCACGTGGCGCGGGCTGGCGTCGCAGATCAGGAAGCTGCCGTAGGGCCCGTGGAAGACCTCCTCCACGAATTCCAGCAGGCCGATGGTGATGCGCGCCCGCCGGGGCCAGGCCGGCGCCAGCCAGCGGTTCAGGCCCGACACCAGGGCGCCCGGCACCAGAGCCCGCAGGTAGGGCGGCACCTCCAGCCTGTAGAGGGAGGTGTGCCCCAGCGGCTCCGTCACGTACAGGTCGCCGCAGAAGCCCAGCAGTTTGGGGGTGTGCTCCTTCTCCTGGAGGGCCACCATCAAGAGGAACTCGTTGACGCGCAGGAGGGCCCAGATGGACTTGGCCTCGGCCAGAGACAGTTTGCCGTCCTGGTTGATGTCGGCCAGCGAAATGATTCTGTCCACCAGGGCGCTCAACGACGGCTGCTCCCCGAGGTTGTCCTGCAGCGGGGGGGAGGTGGGCCGTCGGGTCGGGAAGAGATTTCAAGTTAGCTTCGCCTTAAGAGGCTTCATAGTCAAAGGGTTCAGGACGAGGTTCGCTTCGGAGTTGCCGCGCACTCTCCTCCCTCCCACCTTGCCCAGCCCAGCCCGCTACGGCTGTGACGGTCGCGCCAAAGCCGGAAGAACAGCGAGACGGACCGATGCGAGCTCATCCGGCTGTTCTCCCGCCTCGGGATGTCACATCGGAGCCGTAACGGGGGCGAGACCGACACCGATCCCAAGCCCCACCTTGAGGAAGCCGTGCAACATCTCCTTAAACTCGTCCACGGAGGTTCCGCGCGTGGGTTTTTCGAACGGGCCCCTCCTCCGACGGTTGGCCGAATCCGGAGCGCCGTCGGCCTTTGCGCCGTCCTCGATGCCGCACTTGATCACCACCGGCCTCTCCTTCCAATGGCCGGCGTACACCTGCAGGGCGGTGATGGGAAGTAACAAAGTAGACAGGTCGCTGTACTGTGGGGGGGGGGGGTTGTCATAACTACTGTGAAAATCAAACCAGGGCATTTGCATTTTTTTTTTTTTTTTTTTTTCTGTCCTTCTACTTCAGCACACCGCGGGCGGGAGAAATGACGAGATGTCTCCGAGGACGGCGGCCCCGCTACCTGATGTTGTGAGGAGGTGGACAAGCAGTGGCGCAGCGTCAGCGTTTTGTGCTCGCACAGAGCCTTGCAGGAAGACCCGGAGATGACGCCTCTGCTGTAGTGGTCGCACTGACGCAGGAAACAGGAAGACGGCCACAGGAAACGGACAGCGGGTGAAGAAGAGCGCGTTTCTGCTCTCCGGTGGAAAAATTCGGTCCCTATTTTGAAAGCCTTTGCGGGAGTTGAAACGTGACGGTCCTGCCTTCCGAAGGCTTTCCGGTTGCGCGACGTGACGCTCACGTCGACATGCCGGGCGGCTACGCGCAAATCAATAGAAGGAACCGAAGCCGGTCGTGGACTTACGATGACGGCCTGACAGACGTGTCCGCGGCACAGCTCCGAGTAGGAAGCGTACTGCACGTAGAGCACCCAGCTGGCCACCAGGACGCCCAACCACGCCAAGAGCAGGTACTTCACCTTGAAGGAGGGACGGCACACGGATTGACTTTGACTCAAAGTGCGCAGCGTCCGTTTGACGCGCCTTCATCCATCTCGGCTTTTCCGCATAAGGGAGGGAGGTGGGGGGGGGGCAACTCCCAGTTCACTTCAACCCAGAGGCGGG